ATTTATCAAGCAATGCACACATATTCACAATATGTTCTCATGCATTCTTCACATACAAACAATATGCATATGTTTGTCAAAAGACTATATTTCATAATCGATTCCACCATCTAGGATTCACGCCATACGGCTACCCACAGCATATCATATCACAACATGCACAAGCTATACGTTATATAACAAAAGTATTCTGCACAATAACACATCAATCACACACATTCGCGACGGTAAAAATCAACACAACAATATGTTTTCAATTTTCTGCTATAATTGAACTAGGTACAGGCCTCAAAGCCATTTTTTCTAGAAAGACAATCTCGTTAACTTACCAACGCTTCGAACGGGGGTCAAAACCGACTTACGGTTCAAGAGTTATGAATTTTCGAAGTTTTCCGAAAAATCAGAATTTTGCCTAAACACGGCTACGGGATTTTGCATTTTCGCCCAAAAATCCGACCGATTCAATTCTTTTTTCCGAAACAAACACATACTCATACTCACCTAACATATAGCAGTGAATTAGAACCATTAAACACAATTTCTACGACGTCCGATTTTCACTCAAATCTCAAACCCTCAATTATCCAAAAATGTCAAAACTCACAAACTCAACCAAATTCAATCAAACGAAATCCAATAATCACGGCTAAACATTACCCGACTAAACTACGCAATTTATTTTGAATTCTAACCGTTCAAAACTCGATTCTACCGATTAAACCATTTATGCCCTAGAAATGGAAAATAGAGAAAACTACCAACAAATCCAACACAACTCATACAGAATCATACACATTGATTAAATAATAATGTTTCTCACCCTTACCTTGATTGGATTGAAGCTTGAAGTTGATTCTTGATGATTTCTCCAAGTTTCCCTCTTCTCTTCTCTTTTCTCCTCTTTCTCTCCTTTTCTTTCTTTCTTTCTCTTATGTTTCTATCTCTTTTCTTTTCTCTCCAATTTCCCTTATATATCCTTCTATTTTCTTTCCACCATAATTCTTCTCTCAAAAATATCTATCAATTCATTTCTCACAAAATATCTCATCTTATCATTAATTAGAGAATATCTAATAAATCCACATTATTCTACCAAGTAAAATAAATTAATTAAATCCATTAACTCATTTAAATAAATCCAATAATTTATTTAAATCAGATAAATCACATAAACCAATTAATTAGCACAATTAATCACTTGTTGAAAAATTGGGCTGTTACATGAGGGATGTCTAACATCTTCCACTCACTTAAACGACTCCGAAAACTTAGTCTCTCACCCTTTAACTTTAAGTTTTGTCATTATTTCCCTATTCCTTAGGAACGAATAAAGGATGATGGCGACTCTGTCACTTTTGCCGACCGCGACAGTTTGGATACCACTTGCCTAATTCAATCATTCAAACAATCGTCATCCATTAAAAACATATAATTTGACTCACCTTTAATATATTTTGTAATCAAAATTTAAGTGATCTTTAAGAATACTGGCGTCTGCAAGCTCAATTTTGAAAATTTTTGCTCGCTAATTCGACGTAGAGAAACGATTCAACCGGTCTGTCTGTAGATCTAAAAAATTATTTTGGTTGATACTTTAAGCTTTACACAAAACAAAAATGCATGTTGTAATAAGTAAAAAATAAGGCAGATGACTTGTAAATGCGTTGAATTACTGACTGAATAATTATGAATAGACAATCAGATGCAAATGAATCACTTCTGGACCATTTACTTCTGATTCTCATTCACAATTAAAACCTATAGAAATTCAGATGACGATAATACTTTTGATTGTCACCCTCTGTACCTCTGAAACATGATGCAATATAATGAACGATGCATTTAAATAGATAAATCAAGACTTTTGACTTCTTGATCAATATATTAGTGAATGAATATCATCAAGACTAGATGAAATGCCAAAACTTCTGACTTTTCATCTATGTCCTGATGAGTGCTTTTGACTGAAAGCAAGCATGATAAGATGAACAATTTATATTATGCAAATGCAAATGAAGAAAACTCAGAAAAACTTTAGGGTATGACAGTGACTCTGACAGGGTTTGATGTCCCTAAAGTGCTAGTTGTCAAAGTGACTCGTGATTATGTGTCTGGAGTATCATTTCGGGAATCATAAGTACTTTTTGGAGGAACCATTTCAACCAAAGTCCTACTACTTCTCAGATGCATAAAATTCCAGACATTGAAAATATTTAATTTTAAAATAGAAATAACAAAGTAATGCAATAGTTTCTTGTAAAAGTTTTAAAAAAATTGCACAAAAACTTCTCACTTGACATGCCAATTTATTCGCAGGTGTTTTTAGCAAACAATCACGAGTTTAGTTTACTTGTGAGATTAACTCGAAAAATCTCGGGAGCAATTTGCGTAAAGTAAATGTACAAGAAAGAATGTGTGTGAATTTAATGTGGATGTCTGTATTATGACAAAGTGAAAACAAACTTTAATAGTGAAAAAGCTTGGATCAACATAATAAATGACAGTGCAATAAATAACATTAAACAAAAATGCAATTAATGACAAGTAAAGTTGAATGTTTCACCTAAGAAAACATAAAAACAATGAAGAATAGGAACGCAGACTCATACATGTTACTCACAAATTGTTTCACTCTTTGACTCAGGTACTACAGTTTTATAGAGAAAAATATGAATTTTGTGACACTGATTACAATGCACGAGCCTTATATTTATACTAAACTAAAGATAACCGTCTCCGACAATTTATTCATAGAAAATTGACACACATTAAAAACATGCAACGTAGTTTTCTGAGGGGCCTCAACGTTGTTAAAACATATAAACGGTTGAAAATCATTATCCCACATTCGTAACTGCTCCAAACATATAACTGTCTCCTTGTCAAAGGTAGTTTTGTGAAGAACACTATTGAGAAAAACAACTTCTTTTAAGTATTTGGGTTCCAAAATCTTCTTAGTCTTTGACGTCTGTCGAACGCTTCGACCAGGGCTGTCCCCGAAATTTTGAGTGTCATGTCGAAATTATGAATTTAGTGCCATTTTTCTTAATTCATAATTTGTTTTACTAGATTTATAAGTCATATAATTGTAAATATATAATTGTGAAAAAAAGGTTAAAAAAATTGCATCAATATTGAAAAGTTTACACCAAATCAAAACTACAATAAAGTTATGACAAAAGTAATTATAGTGTATCTATCAATTCGAACATGTATCATTAACATTCCAATTCTCACACTAGCTGCAAAATCTTTGAATATCTTCCTCATATCATTTTTTTGTTGCAAAATCACTAATAATTTGATCAAAATCAAAATTCTTTAAAAAAACCATATTCAATTGAAATCAAATAAAGACTATTTAATCTGATTGCGACATTGTCGATCGCAAATAAGATTTTAGCAATTTTAATTTTAAAAAATTCCCCTCCGCCGATGCAACGATAATAGAAATAGTTAATATTATTCTATAAGTTATGCATGCATTAGGAAAACAATTAAATCTCTTAAGAGGCAAGTGGTGCAAGAATTTTTTTCTGTCAGAATGTTAAAAGTCTAAATGTTTATTTTTCACTAATTTTATGTTTTCCATTTTTACGGTGAATCACATTTATGTGGGAAAAAAATTTAACAGAATTTATGAGATTTTTTTTGGTACAATATAGGTGTGTGTATTAGTAAAAAAAAAAAGAAATATATATATATATATATATATATATATATATATATATTAAAAAAAATTGGTGCTCCTAAAAAGTTAGTGCATTGTGCCACCGCTCCTCCCAAACACTCTCCGAGACCCCTGACTTCGACCTTGATATGGTGGCGAAAGATCAGCTAGATTTATTCTTGAAATTCTTCCAAACAATATTCAAGATCTATTCAACACACTAGTCGAAACACTTCAGCTAACGTGTTTATTCTTGTCGAAACCTGTCAACAATACAAATACTTAACATTTTCTCAATGCAGCCTTCCTTGTTGACTTTTTTTCAATCTGAAATTTCAGACTAATAGAGGGGGCAAACGATTGGCCTGAGGAAGACGACTGATGGGTTTCTCCAACAAACTCTTTATAAGGTGTATAAAGCTTTTTACCTAATGGTCGACCAGGTGGAGGCCCTTTGCTCGGACCTATATATTCCTCGCTCACAATTTGATCCATTCAAAATTATTTAAAACTAAATCTTAATGTACAATATCAATGCAGCGTCTAAAAATAAAAAGACTTAATTTTTTATTTATTGTGTTGTAAATAGAATGTGTGCCTTTATTTCCTTAATGATGATATTTATCTATTTAGATTTCTCTTATTGATTATTTTACTTTTATTTACAAAAATCTTTTTAATCTTTTAAAATGGGAAACACACAAATTTTAGTATATATAAGAGGGTGTCTTGACAAAAGAAATCCTTCCTAGATAATAATACATTTTTATGGACACAGTAAAAGATAATACTAGATGGTAGCATAACAACAAACCTCCAATGTCGATAAACAGAAAGCGTAAGCGCGTTCATTAAAAAAAAAACAATAAACAGAGATAGCACGAGAGTCCACGTGCAAGGGAAAGAAAGAATCGAAATTCCAAATAACAAAACTATGGCAAAAGACAATGAAGGCGATGCTTAGTATCGAAAGCAAGAAAATCTTGTGCTAGTAGACGAGCCCAGCCACTTCCATTATTCAGATTCTGCTTTTTTTTAGTACTTTTATTTTTCTGTTCAATTCTTTCTAGCCCCCACCCACTCACTCATTCATCATCAATAATCTCTTCCAGAATGTAACGAATTTTCATTCCAACGCATAACGCACCCCTCTCCTACTGCTTCAACTCATTTGATTTAATTTATTTATCGTTTACCTTTAATATTTAAATATTATAAATTATAAATTAATGATATGATGATGAATCGAAGATGAAATTATGAAATTATAATACATTTATCGATTTGGTGTCTCCTCCCATTCTACTCTATTCAAAGGGGAGAAGAAAAAATGGCATTTCAGCGGCGGCGCCACCACTTTTACCAACGGTTTCGTCTCATGATTCCGATGATTTCCTCCGTCGCTGCCGCTCTACTCTTTCTCTTCGCTATGCTTTCATTCTTAGCTCCTTTTCCCACCGAATCCGATCATATGCACGGGAGACGCCGTTACACTGCGGTAATCTTATTCACTCTCTTAGCATTCACTGTATCTAGTAATTGATCGCAAATCTGTCACTATTTTGTGTGTTTCGTTTTCTTATGTATGTAATTGATGCACAGTTTAACGGTAAAACGAATGATGCCATTGGAAAACCTGATGCGAGTGGAAAGCCTGTGTTCCGCGTTCCGGTTAGGGCTTTCTCTGGCTTCTGTTTGTGTTTGATGTAGATTTGGTGATTCTGTTGTTGGATCTTGATTCGTTGCTTGTGTGTTTTTGTTTTGATTGAAAAATTGTAACGATCAGAAAGATGGAGGAAAGATGAGTCACGATGTGTGGAGTTCTAGAAATTCGGAGCACTTCTATGGCTGCAGCAATGCCAGCAGCAAGTTTCCAAGTGCGTATCTATTTGTTGGTTCAGTAATCAAGTGATGTGATGTAAAACTTTTCGTTTCAAACTTGATTTGGTTGTATGAAAATGACGGATAGTTATGCTTTTCCAATGGCAGAAGCTCAAGTGACTACAAGGCCTAATAGGTATTTGTTGATTGCAACTAGTGGAGGCTTGAATCAACAAAGAACTGGGGTATTTCTCTGCACTACTGTCATTATCATTGATACTGCTATAGTCAAGCATGGATTCCATATCTGGATTTATTTTCTTTTATAGAGTATGGTTCTGAATAAATTTATTAATGTGAAATGAACTCAAAAGCATATGCTTCCTCAATCAGATATGCCTTAGATTAAGGTTGTCAAACGAAATTAATTTGTCCATGCTGTAGTAAGTAATGTGGCATTTGATGGGAAAAGGGACTAAACTTGTTGGAGTCGGAGTCATAATTAATTAAATAATCAATGCACTTTAGTTATTGGCACATTTTTCTCCTGTCCGTTGCTTATGGATGCCTTAAATGTTGTTGAAACTCCTATTTGTCTATTGCTTGCATCTGTGAAAGCGATGCATCCCTTATGTTTTTAGATCCTATCTGCTTGGCTTTAAAAAAAAGTCTCAGTTGATTGTTTGCTCCAAAATCTGGAGCATTGAAACCAGTGAATCTTTTCTGTTTTATATAACGAGAATCGTATACTGCTGTATATAATGACTGCTGTTGGTGCTTATTATTTGCAAACTATATGAGTACTCAACTATCATTGTCAATCATTTTATTTCTGTGAATGGCAGATTACAGATGCTGTTGTTGTTGCACGAATTTTGAATGCTACTTTGGTTGTTCCAAAATTGGATCAACGATCTTACTGGAAAGATTCTAGGTCAGTTGCCGAAAGGATATATTGTAACTCGGTTTGGTTGTATTTAAGTGTATCATTCTCAGTGTTTTATGCTAATTTGTGATGCAATGTCATACTTTACCTTTTGCAGTAACTTTTCAGAGATCTTTGATGTTAATTGGTTTACCTCGTATTTATCAAATGATGTCAAAATTATCAAGCAACTCCCAATCAGTAAGGGTAGGAAAGCATTATCTGCATACAGCATGCGTGTTCCAAGGAAATGTAACGAGAGATGTTATATAAATCGTATACTGCCTGTACTCGTGAAAAAACGTGTAAGTTTTTCATTTCATAGAAGTGCTACCGGTGCTTATTGTGTTGTACAGCTAATTAGATTCTCCGAGGTGCCTTCATCTATCAGTTTGATTGTTTTTTATTGCTTGGAAGATATATAACAGTAGTAGGCAATTTTAACTGCTTTTATATCAAGGACTAGAGGTCCAAATCTTTATGTATAGATGTTACGGTAAGTGTTTTTTAGATGGATTAGATGCATTTACATAATGAGTTTTTCAGTAGGCTACCAATGAATTTTAACCCCGTCGTGTCGATGAAATTTGACCCCGATGTGTGGTGCCTGAAGTGCCTTTTCTATTTGCCAAGTGATCTTATAATTGAACTATTTGCAAGATCCAGATCCATATATTTTTTCGACGATTTGCCTGAATTTTTGAAGATTGTTTCAATTCATGTTTGCCATTCTATGACTGATAAATCTCGCCCTATGATCATTAATTATTCAAACTTAGTACCCAAATTTAACCCACTTTAAAGTTTTTGTTTCTACAAATTGGCCGATTTTGGTTATCAAAATAGAACGCGTTGTATGCTTGATACCGCTAGAGTTGTTGGAAAACTTCGGAAGTAATCAAAGCTCTAGTCTCTGTCAACTGTCTTTTTTAAGCTTTAATAAACAAGTAATCAATGATTTTAGTTCTGACCAATTTATCCACTGAGATTAATAAATTAATAACTATTTGAACATTTGATTATGAGGAACGATATTTAATGTTGTTGCTTCATTTTTATGGCAGGCTGTTCAACTCAACAAGTTTGACTACAGGCTTGCAAACAGGTTGGATACTGAGTATCAGAAGTTGAGATGCAGAGTTAATTACCAAGCTCTAAGATTTACTGATCCAATACAAGAAATGGGTAAAAAATTAGTCAAGCGGATGAGGATGAGAAAGAAGCATTACATTGCATTGCATTTGAGGTAGTTTGTTTGACTTGGCTTCTTGTTGTTTGTTTGTCTTGGCTGTTCTGTTTAATTTACTTGCCCGGGTAATCTTATCAATCAGATTCATCAATTTGGTAACCACTAAACTATAATATATCATTAGTATCCATATACGTCGATCACTGTCCTTGATAAAAATTTGCTCGTATACATAAATGCATGTTAAAACTAGGTTCAATTCGTGCTTTTATGCTGGTATCCTCGTTACATTTGCTTGCTAAGCATATTACTAAGGTATCCATTTTATTTGCACAAACATGAAACACGTGAATGTTCAGTTTCAGTGAGGACCGCGATTTTATTTAACATCGTTTAAAAGTAATGTATTTCATATTTGATAAGGTGGCCATACATGAAACCTCCAATGTCCTCATGTTGAAACTTTTTGTCTAGTTAGGGAACTATTAGGTGGCTGAAACTTAATCAGTCCATTGAAGTTATGGGCGTTCAGATAAAAGTAGGGGAGAAAATATTTAGTAAAACTCTGAATATTATTCTTAATAACTCGAGACTGACTTGTAATCTTTATTCTAGATTGAGTAGTGCATTGTGTTCCATATACCGTAAATTTGTACTTGTCTATTTCCAGTTTTATTGCAGTGAATATAAATAGAGTGATCATATCTAGTGAAACAGAACTGTAAAGGTTCGAAATGAGTAAGAACAAATTTACAGTATATGGCGCACAGTGCACGACTAAAGTTTCAATACAGATTACTACTCCAAGTTAAATTAAAGTCCCTGGCCTCATCTCTATTTTAACACACAAATATACACCGGCATGTATTAATATAATAATACACTGACATACATTAGTCTACTGCCAATTTGCACACAGAAAATTAGTAAGTAATGCAAAATATAGGAAAAATAAAAACTAAACAAACATTCCCCCTTGAATGTGATAGCAGGTGAGCCAAGGAATAGTATAGACTGAGTTTGTCTCTGAGGGTGAGAAATCTTTGAATGGAGAGAACATTGGTTAAAATATCAGCCAGCTGGTGTTTTGCAGGGATGTCACCGCCACAAAAGTCTTGTCAAGAACTTTCTATCTTGCAAAAAGATATCAAGCTCCACATGCTTTGTTCTAGCGTATAAATAGATATAAAATATGACTGAGTTAATGTCATAGTGCTGAGATTGTCACATAAGATATGAGAAATGACAATAGGCACTTTTAATTCATTTAATAGGGTGTTTATCCATAGAATTTCTGCTGCTGTTGCTGCCAGACTCCTCCTCAATTTAACCTCTGCACTAGATATAGCCACCTGAGGTTGTTTCTTAGACCGCCAAGAAACCTATTTATGGCCTTATAATGCACAAGACAAGACCTACAAGTGGACCTTATATCACCTGGGCCTACTTCCCAACCTGCATCACAGTAGACTGTTATGGCTACTTTTATACCCAGAACAGAATGTTTAAGATGAAGACTACGATTATCAGTGCCTCATAAACATCTAAGAAATCTATGTACCACTTTCTAATGATTACAGAGATTGATACTATAGCCACCAATGGTTGTAGTAGAAATAGCTTTAGCTTGGGACATTTGTGCTTTGCCAACAAGTAACAACTATTGAATATATCTGACTTGGAAAATGATTAATGATCTTGAGCCTCCTCACTTCAATCCTCATAAAATAGTCAAGTGTCCCAAGATGTTTGAGAGCAAATTTAGACTTCAATTTAGTAATTATCTGCTGAATAAGATCAATAGAACTCTTTATTACAATAATTCATCTTCATAAACGAGCACAAAAAAAGAGTGCTGCTGACTGTCATCTACAGTGAAGAGTAAAAGGTCACATTGGGTGATTTAAAACCAAAGCTCAGTGGATAATAATAATTTTAAAGTATTACTTTTCACCTAAAAAAAAACAAAGTTCAGCAGTGCAGACCGAAGTCTTTCAAATCAGTCCTTGGAAGCCCGTTTCAGCTCACTAGGAGCTTAATTCAACTCATATACAAGGATATTAGTTATCATGAGTTTGAATGTAAACCTCGTCATCTAGTTTAAATCGACATTTATTTAAATCCAGTTGATGGATGTGCTATCCATTAGTGATAGCTAAAGTGTGTATTGTTCTGGCTGTAACTTCTGATATAAAGTTTCAGTGAAGGTAAAGGTAGGTTGTTGATGAAAATGCTTAGCAACTAGCCTTGCTTTGTATTTATTGATGTTGCCATCAATATTTCTTTAATTCGAAACATCCATTTGTCCGATTACTTGTCTACGGGAAAGAAGTGAGACCATTATTGATGTTGCCATCAATATTTCTTTAATTCGAAACATCCATTTGTCCGATTACTTGTCTACGGGAAAGAAGTGAGACCATTATCTAGGTGTTGTTGCGCATAAGAGCTTCATATTCCAGCTGCATGACTGCCAGCCACTGAATACGGTACAAGGCCTGCTGAGCTGAAGAATATTATAAAAAGCCTGGGATTTTACCATTGCCCATTGTCCAAAAGAATTTGGTCAGAACCTGATAGTGTCACTGGCAATGCTTGTCATAGATTTCCCCTGTAGATTTGATTTCCTGTATCTGGTGTAACGTGATGTGTAGAGTCAGTGTACTACAACTGAGGAGTGGTTCCATTCCATCAGTACTAGTGAACAGAGCAGGTGAGGTCTGTGTAACACAGACTCCGACACGAACACTAGGACCCGACACGACACCGACACTTCGACACCTATAATGTCAAAAACATAGGACACTGATACCACTACATATTTGATATTATTTTACTTTCATTTATCCATCTATTATTAAAAAATGAAAACATATTCTAATAAAAATTAATGTCTTTAACCTTCATTGATAGCATTGCTTCAATATATATTTAATTCTTTTAGATGTGTGTGAGAATTGTCAACAAAAAAATGTATAAGGCGTGTTGAAGAAAAAAAAACAATTTTTTTGAACACTTGTTTGAATTATCCGACTCGTATAGTATGAGTGTCATATGGATGTCGGACTTCGATTCAAAAATTTTTGAAGCAAGAAAAATCCCTAATTTTTTGGGACACGTCAGACTTTTCCGACACTTGTCAGACTTATCCGACATGTGTCATACAAGTGTCGGACACCGCGACACACCTACTCCTAGAGGTCTGTGTCTGTGCTTCATAGGGTGAGGCAGTGGATGGTGCAGGTGCCGAAGGGTGTATTAGAATGGAGAAAAATTGAGAGAGTTGTAATCTCAATTATTGTATGTTGACTGAAATAAGTTCACTGAGCTTAATAGTTCAGATTACAGAATTTATACAATTGCTTATCCTCTACTTAGGCTAGAGTTGTCCTACAATCATGTAACTGCCAAGGCCAACTGGCAGAGCTGTCTAACTTACGATTGTGAATAATGTATTTTTACTATTATAGTAGTAACTTGCACTAGGCCATTATGCTAGAATAGCCTATAATAATAGATTAGTGTTTGTAGATTATTCATACTTGAAATATAATATGCCCATTATGTTAGAATAGCCTATATAAATAGATTAGTGTCTGTACATTATTCATACTTGAAAAATAATATTAAGTTTCTAATATAGTATCACGAGCTCTTTTTTTGAGAGTTTTGCTTTTGCATAAAAAAAAAACCTAGCCGTCTTCATTGCGACTCCTTTTTTTTTTTCTGCCTTCGTTGCAGTTTTTTTTCCTAATTGTGACTCCTTTTTTACTCTTCTGCCTCCGTTGCAGTCTTTTTCCTAAACACTCAGTGTCAGTTTCTGTTCACTCACAGTCGCCAACATTCCTTTTTTTTTAACCAAAAAGTTAGTCATTCTCCAACCTGTTTGACCCTTTCCCGTCGGAATCTGTTCTCACCACCACACCATCACCACCTCCTGCACAAAACCAACCAGACCCTAGGGACCTCCATTCAACACCGGTTTTTATTTTTCCAAATCATAGATCGGTGGTTTTTTGTTTCTCTGATTCCAAGACCGGCAGGCAGTTTTTTAAAATTGCTCATATGCCAGATATTTGTAGCATAGCCTCTAGTACGTCGGTGGTTGTTGAATCTGTCTTGAGAGCTGGAGCAATTTCATCTGTCTTTTCTGAGCTTACATGAGTATTTAGGAGGCTAACGCTTTTTACTAGTGAACTCCTTCTCCTTCCTTGGGGTAAAATGGTTTTCTTAACCTGCTTATGGTGTTCATCTAGTGTTTATTTTGTTGGACATACTCTAAAATTGACTAGAGCTGTTAATTTCTCCGGGTGTGTGTTTATGCGCTAATCATGTGTGTAAAGTTGTAAACTTTAGTTGAACTAAATGAAGTTAAGGATAAAGTTATATCAGGCATAGTTGAAATTTGAGGAAAACAAATAAAACAGTTTTGAAAAACTCCCAAATGTCCACATTCAGAGTCTAAGACCTTCATATTTAGACTAGGTCCATATCACAGACTGCACTTGGTCCTGTTGATTTTATTTAGACAACAATGTTTTCTACACTTGCATAGATCCTATTAGGTAAGTAGTCGGTCGTAAGGCCGGATACCAAGATTTAAAAAAAAATTGAGTAGTTTCTAAATTTGACCCACTTTTTTTGCTACAGATTTGAACCCGATATGCTTGCATTTTCTGGATGTGACTATGGTGGAGGAGAGAAGGAGCAGAAGGAACTGAGCAGAATAAGGAGGAGATGGAAAACACTACATGTAAGGCTCGCATGTTAAATTTTACTACTATTAAGAGATAATGAAACCTATTCACGATTAGACAACATTTTTGTATGCTTCAGTACAATTTTTTTTTTGTTATAATGACACGGTTCATATAAACCTGACTGGGTTTTTCATTTAATGAATATGAGCAAATGGCTTTTAACATTTTGACTGTCTTTAACCCTGCTTGTAGCAAGGTGCCTAAATAGGCATTATTTGATAGAGTGTGTTTTATCTGACTATGTTTGCATGAGAAAATTTGTTAACAAAGAGAGTATGAATATTGATTTGCAGAAAAGTAATCCTGATAGGGCCAGGAGGCAGGGGAGATGCCCGTTAACCCCAGAAGAAGTTGGTCTAATGCTAAGAGCATTGGGGTATGGTTCTGATGTTCATATTTATGTCGCATCTGGAGAAGTATATGGAGGGGAAGAAACATTGGCGCCTCTCAAAGCATTATTTCCTAATTTCCATTCAAAAGAAACCATTACTACCAAGGAAGAATTAGAACCATTTTCTTCGTTTTCTTCTCGGATGGCTGCACTCGATTTTATTGTTTGTGATGAAAGCGACGTGTTTGTCACCAATAACAATGGTAACATGGCTAAAATATTAGCTGGACGAAGGTATGCTCTACTCCATTTGCATGTTTATTTTCATTTTCTGTTGGTCACTAATAGCTACACTTGCTAATTTGCTTTCCGTGTCTTATAGGAGATACTTTGGGCACAAACCAACCATTCGTCCAAATGCTAAAAAACTCTACAGATTGTTCTTGAACAGAAGTAATTTGACTTGGGATGTTTTTGCTTCCGGTGTCCGTACTTTCCAGAAAGGATTCATGGGTGAGCCCAAGGAGCTTAGACCTGGTAGAGGCGGGTTTCATGAAAATCCATCTACTTGCATATGTGAAGATTCTGTGGCCAAAGCTACCAAAAATTCTGGACCTAGAAAATTTTCAAACAAGAAAGTGAATGATGAAGTGGAAGTTGATGATAATGATGACAACGATAACGATAATGATAATGATAATGATGATGATGATGATCAGAATGATCTTACAGATAAGGATATGTTCAATGAAACAATGTCAGACTATGAAACTTTGAATTTTGAGGATCCAGAGTTGGAGGAAATTATATCTGATTAGTTAAGCTGCAGTATTCAGTGGTGACTATCTGCCGACTCTTTTGTCAAAACTTCTTAAGCAGCTGCTGCTTGTTTGAAAGTTGCTAATAATGCCTAGATACCAGAAACAAAAAAACACATATTTCTCAATACAGGCTGAGCTGAACTTGAAGTGGCTATATGAAGACATCTTGAAAATTTAAATCATAGGAACAATTTGTGCATTTTTAAGAGCATCATGGCCTCGGTTTGTTGCTGAATTTTGTTGGTGTTTGGACTTATAAATGAATCTGGAAAGAGGGTTGATCACAGAGGTGAGTAATGAGTGGAATGGGAGGACAGCCATTCGACATTTAGCTGCATACATAATTGAGTCTGTTAGGAAGTAGGAAAATCTGTATATTTTTGTTGAGAAATTGTTGGGCATATACTTTCGTTTATATCTTTTGACATTGACGCTGTCAACTTATAGAAGCAACAGGATACCAACTTAAGTTTTTACGGCTGAAGTGAACATAGATAGTTGTGGTTGTTGACCTGTAGTTAGCCCTTTTGTTAAATCAGTTCATTTTTCTATACATTTAGTTAAAATTGGTACGAAAATTTGATCTCCGCAAATTGCATGCATAAGTGTCGGTAAGTGAGTCTATTGACCCTTAAATATTTGTTTAGAGCAGTTGACGATAGCAGCTATAAATGAACATATTATTCACTAGACTGTCTGTGGCCTGTGTCTTTGAGAGTAAGGAAATAGGAATGCCGGATCTGAAAGTGCAGCCAGTTTAGTGGTTAGATAGAATTGTTAAATTTTACACGCACAGCGTAAATTGAAAACCATACTAGTTCAAGCCATGTCAAGAACTTGTAAATGGAAAAATAATAAGAATATCATTAAGATGGAAAGAATGAATAAAATGATTAATCTAGAATATATATATCTTTCACAAATGGAGTTCCTCTTAATGACATGATTACTCTAAAAGTTAAACAAAATAAACGACGACTTGTAAATCAGATTTTCACTGCGACGAGGGCAAATCATCCGGTGGGTCATCTGCTTGGAGCGATGGAGGTGATCCGAAGTCTAAATTGGGGAAGACACCAGGTGGTCTCTCCAGGGGCTCAATCGAGAGTAGTTGGCTTGAATCACCCACAACATCCGCCCATCCATAATGAGGTTCGGCCCTTCATAAGAGAGACAAATTTAAAATGAATACAAGCAATATGACTAGAGTAAAATTTAACCAGACTACATCTTCATTTCTAACTGAAACACATTTTCAAATTGCACTTCATCTCCCTTTTTAACTTTTCGTCTTCAAAATATATACTTACGTTAAGCATATTTTCATCTAAGTGAACCATTTAAAAACGGTGAACTATAAACAAGTCTCTCACTGAAAATTTTCCTCAACTTTCAATGTCACCAGCAATTTGTTTTAAAACACACTTCGTTAATTTAGGACTTAAAATAAAGTTTCAAATACCCACTTACGAGCTGTGGATCATCCTCCAAATAAAGATATTATGCCCTTTACTTTAGAGGCTATTTTTTCCATGTATAAAACTAGAAGCACCTTGTGGTCACGGTTAAGTTAACACCCAAGTAGAGATTAGTCTCACAAGAGTCCCACCCGAGGCCTAGAAAAATAGGTAAATCGAGAGATAAAAATGCAGTAGAGAATATCCTTACTCGTAATAAGTTTCTTCGTCTACAACTATGTCCCAGCTCTCACCGGTTGTGCTGTTTCCATACTTATGGACTTTCCTGTTGCAAGCAAAAGCCAAGCCAATTAGCCGGTGTAACAGAAAAGTAACATTTTTAGGAAATTACTGAGGCATTGTATACATATCGATTCAATAATCCCAGTCACTTTTAAGGTCATCGTGCACAAGTAAATCAACTAGTTTATGGAAGCTTTGATCATACCCATTTCCAAAGTGCTCTTCTCCCCAAGTTCTTGACCAACCTGGCAAAAGGATGAAAATTGCATTGAGTTAAAAAAAAACACATATGGTTATGTTAGAGAGAGAACCGTGTAACAGACATGTGGTGGGGGGAGATTGACTCGGCAGCCACCAGATACTTATAAAAGAAAACTCAGAAAGCCCCCGTTTTGTGGACCTTGGAACAAAGACACCTCCAACATTTCAGAGTCATGAGATACATGATTAATACCTTAAGAAAAGTTACATGAAATGCATCCTATATTTTATTACATCTATGGAAAAAGGCTCAAGCATTTAATAAAATGAAACCTCCAAGACTACATTATTGGGTGCACTCTGACAGCAACTAATGGAACAAGCAGACACGGCTTTTGGTTACAGCACGGGAACAACCAAATATGAAATGAATGTGAAAGACGACTTTATAAGTAATAATATATAATTTTAGTATATAACATACATACGTTCACTGCTTGGAGATACATGCCAAGTTTCCCCATGACGTGAACCTATGCCTTTAAAGAACCGCTCCTCCCACTTGTCTCCCCATTTTGTTCCAAGTTCAGTTTCAGCCCATTTATCTGTCCTGAGGAAGTGTAAGCAAGGAAAAGAAAGCACCGAGAAAATAAAATTCAGGACTAGTACAAAATGAACTCTTTCTGGTTAAAAATTATGATAAACTTCCAAACAAATAATCAACTTGTATCCAAAGAAATCAACAGAAAGCAAAAATAAATTTAAGAGACAAAAACAAGAGAGAACAAGTGTGGCAAACTAAGAATAAAAAGAGAAAACAGAACTGAAAGTCAAGGTGCAGGAAAGAATATTATGATTCAGCAAATGTAAGCAGAGTACCGCTGAAATAAACATAAATCAAATAAGATTGTCCGATAAAATGTCACAAAATCCACAGTTCAGCAGTAAGTTATTCATCCATATGAGGCTCACCTGTAAACATGTGGATAATCGTTGCTACAAGAAATGAATCAATTAAGCTATCATACATACCATTTGAGAACAGATCCTCTTCCGTCATAATGCTCTCCCCACTTTTCCCACCACGATTGTTCATTCAGCCTACCATACTTATGTGCCCCCTTTTCAGTCCAACCTTTAGCATCATATTTTTCCCACCTAGTTAAACAGAGTCAGAAACTCAATGTATTTGATCCATTAATAATGCATGCATAGAGATTCCAGCTTTCGTTTTGTAAGATACATCAACTTACCATTTCTCATACCACCCAGCATTTTCGGTTCCTGATTTTGCTTGTTTTTGTGCGCTCCTCTCTATTCTTGCTATGTTACTGTAAATTGAAACAAGAAAGAAGTTGTGTAAGTGATTCACGGGGTTTAGTTATGCACAACAAACAGAGAAATAAAGTAATGACCTCCATTCATCTTGATGAAGATTTTCTTGCCATGTTTCCCACCAAGAATCCCCCTCAGAATTTCTGCCAGATTTCTCCACACCTGCGAGAACTTACAAAATTAATCACAAGCACGGACAGGCTAGGTTATTCAAGAGTTTAACAAATCTCAACAAATCAACCCTGCTACTCAGTATTTCTTCAATCAATTACACCATTAGATGATAATGGTAGTTGATTCAGACAATGGTTTAATGAAGCTCAGATGATAAAGCATAAAACAGGGGCAAAGTGAAAATAAACATTGAAGGACATTCTAGCAGAGCATAATCTGCTTATCAACTGTCAGACAGATTAGGATAGTGCATGACATTTCAGCTCAGTTATGCCATAATTTAGTGGGAAGATTTTTTTAGTATCACTTTATTCATTTATTCTGACTGGCTATGTTACAGTCGTGCAGTCATAGTAATTGATTTGTTGCGCTCGACATAAATTTTATAAATTTCTGTAGATATTAAAGAGTTGCAGATATTAGTATGTCATATGAAGGAACATGTTTTATATGTACAAACATAATAATCATAGATCAGTCGAATGTTATTTTTATATGTTATAAAAATCAGCTGTTGCAATAAATCTGCTGAATCATGTTAAATGTATAAGCAGCGTGTTTGAGCAAGGGTCCAGAAGTAAGTTTGAACACCTCAAACTATCTTTTCGATAAAACAATCATGTGCTTCTGCCCAGAAGTAATTTTAGACTGGCCCCATAAAAACTAAGAATGCTCAAGAACTTTCAGTAATGTCTCTATATCAAATATGAAGTAACATACCTAGCTCCTTATATCCAGTCCAGTCGCTCTTCTCCCACCACTGTCAATTAGATCAATAAAGCCAATTAAATGAATCCACCAGTGGTGTGATATTGATAGGGGTCCTGAATACTGTCAATCTATCATATTAAAAATAAATCCATCTAGGAAGCCAGTTGATGGGGTTATGGAAAAACCAACCTAAAATGCTACAAATCATGCCTAATGTAATTCAAGTACAAAAAAAAAGTTAAAGTAATGTGCTCAAAACATGTGAAAATATAACCGACGTCATGTCAATGGAATTATTAGCTCCTTGGTTTGCACAAAAATAAGTTGTGATAATGCATGCAACTCAGCATTGCAATATCTAGCCAGATGAATTATACAAAATATTGAAAAACAAATAAGGTTTCTAAAAAAATACTCCTTTTCAGTATTAACATTCAAATTATCATAGAACTATATCCAGATTATCCAATATACACAAATAGTTCAGAGCTGAGAAAAAAATAACAATTGAAAGTACATAAATTACATGAAAAGCAAAAATTTTAGTCAAGAGCCGCTCCAAGAGTTAAAATTGAACTTCAAGAAGTGTTCGAATGCGGTGTTCAATATTTTCAAGGTTGGTATGTACTTAGGAAACATGATCCTCTCCTTATTACATGCATACTGGGCATACTAAGACATTATCTAAGCTACTGCTGTGTTTAATCTAAGGTGAGAAAATGATCTAAAGCTATTGGAGCAAAAACATAAAGTTCTCAGTTGTAAGTATTTGTCATAACTGTTATTATAATTTTCCCACTATTTCTTGAAAAAAAGTACTGCAAATTATTTATCAACAAAAAGTCGGCATCAAAATCTTTACAAACTAAGATTTGGTAATTAATATCACTCGTCTGTATTTGCTACAGAAGTCCACTTCTTAATTATAGACTTATAATACAATGATGCCATTAAGCAAACAAGGATCATTAGCGCGTGTCAAACAAGGTTATATTTGATGACTAATCAAAGTAAGATAGAAGAAATAAGATAGCTTTAACTCAAAAAGTTACTTTAACATACACTGTTTCTGTAGATTTATTCTCACACTTTATTAACAAAAAACTACATCCAAATATTAAAAGTATAAATACCGTTTCTTTCCATTCTGATGAACTATCATGGGATTGACCACCCATTCTTGTCCATCTACATCTATATCCATTTTCACCAAGCTCTTCTCCATTTTCTCTGTACCAAGTACTCCCATCTTCATTAGTGCCGGACTCCTTAACATTTTCATTTAACAAGCTGATACCCCAGTCCTTCTCATTTGCTATACCAGTGTCTGTTTAGAAACCAGTGAACACAAACATACATAATATTCAACATTCCAGGATAACTAGTAGAAAACATGTAAGATAGCCTTCAATCAACATTTGGAGCAAACGAAAGGACTACATCAATGATAAACTACCTCTTTTGGGCGGGGTATCTCGTGACTGTGGACCAGAATTTCTTGGGGAACAACGAGGAGAGAACTTTTCCTGCTTTAAAATGGACCTGTGGCCATCATGGCATAAAGCATAGTAATAATTGAGAAAAAATTGCAGCTAATGTAATACAGTATATTGTAAAAAGTATAAAGAAAAAACAATGTAATATTCCTAACATAACATTTTCCACAAACAAAGGAGCATCCTTCATTTTCTGAAGCAAACTGTGAAAAGTCGGTAATGCATATATAGAAAGTAAAAAAATGAACAGTAAACTTAGTTCTTCCATGATCTGGAATATAGTTCAAATCATTTCAGCACCATGACAATCTCAATTCTTACATACTGAACCAATATGAATAAAATGAATTAATCTCTTATCAAGCGTGTACAAACTGGAGATCTAAAATCACACGAAAACCTCACGTTCATCTCTTATCAAGCATTCATATGTTACTTTATTTTCACTGCTAAAACCGATTTCACTTTTCATTAACATGGAGAATTCAGACAAGATACAAAGTTCACCTAATTACAATAACAAATTTGAACACAAGAACCACAAAATTGAGTTTAACAATATACATACGGTGGAGAAGCGAACGGCATTGCAGCTGGAGTAGCTCGAGTTCTAACTCTATGAACGTGAGGGTTTTTCTTCGGATCGAATCTCCGTTCCTCGATTTTCTCAGGTCCACTCGTTCTACGAATCGGAGCAACCGAGTCAGAACAACAGCATCGAAATTTGAGATTACCGATTCGAACTCGTTCCGCATCGGAAAACATCTTTCTTCGCTTTCTCCGGCATAACTCCGGGAAGTAAGTGCTCGGAAATAGAGCAACATTGAGCCGTGTTGCTCTGAGCTTGAAATCGAACTGCGTCGTTGAGAAGCCTCTAGAACTCGCCGCCATTAATGCAGAATTAGTAACATTGACGAATAAAGCGCAATGCAATGCAGTTGAATGTGTAACTGCAAATCGTTCTCCTCTGTAACCGTTTTCGGTTAGAGTATAATAGTAGTGAGGGTAAAATTGGAATTTAAAGAGTGTGAGTGTGAGTGTGATGAGGGAATGTTTTGAAGCATTTGATTTTGATCTGAGAGTGTGAAAGTGGAAGTGGAAATGAGGAAGAAAGGGGAAAGAATAGTGAGAGCAATGAGATCAGATCCGAGCATGGCTACGAATCCCGAGATTTGTTCAGTATTTACATATACATGTGAGCAAATGGGTCCCGCTACATTTTCTGTCCCTTGTTCTTATTCCACTTTCGTATTGCCACGTGTCATTTCTTCATGCGCCATTGGTATCTTTGTGGGATGAAAAGGTGAGAAACACCATATCACTGTTCTACTATTTCTTTTGTTATACTTTTTAATTTAATATTTTTGTAAATATAAAAAAATTGATGCTATCTTTGCAAAACCTTAATCTCAAATTCTATTATGTCAATTTCAAACCTCCGGACGATTCTTAAAAAAATAATTAAATATATTTTAATTTTTACTGAAACATTACTCTTTTGTCTCAAAGTAAAAGCTTTTTAAAGACTATTATTATAAATGTATAGTGTGACGTAATATTTTGAAAATTGTGTAGAAAATATTTATTAGAATTAAAATTGATAAAAATTAATTATTCTTACATTGAAAACATAAGAAAGACTCTTCTTTTAAGATAAAAAAATTTTGCTAGAAAAATTCTTTTTTTAAAACATAGGAAGTATAATTAGTGAAATAATTGAAAAGCGTAAAATTTAATAAATAAAGGCAGTAGTGAAAATAATAATAATAAATTTCAAGAACGAACTCAAGACACAAATGAAGATCAGTTATGTGTTGCTCAACACAATTCCACACTCAAATTCGGGCAAATATCATAAAATCACGACATAACAAAAACACAACCTTAGACAAAAAAAGCAAAGATCTCTTTTAAATACCTGAGCAGTTTCAGAAATTAACGAGCCATTGATATTATCGAAGATCAATTCAATGAGAACGTAATTTGAAGAAGATATCTTCATCAAAAATGAATGTGCATCGGCCAATTCAGTTTCGACTGTTTCTTTTTTAATGAGAATTGTCCAAAGAATATGCATGTACCGAAGAAACATTTTTTGCACGCCCTCTTTAAGGCACGTTTTCCACTGTCCAAGAAACACCATTCATATAGAGTCACTTGTAAATAAACACGAGTCCTAAACAATATCCTGACACTCAGTCATACCTTGTCTATTCTCTCCTGTAAACTTTAAAGCATAATCACAGTGCCTTCCAATGAACTCCAAGCATACTCCTTTCAGTCAGTATTAGAAAACCCTGACCATGATGTCAAAAAATTATGTGTGACATCTCCCATTTATCAATAAAAGCTCCCATGAACCTTATCCCAATCTGCAGAGAAAAATAAATTCTCCCACACAATATCCAATCCTATTTCTCAAGTCTCTTTTAAGAATCATGAACATAATTGAAATGATTCAATCCTCTCACTACCCTCTCATGTTAATTCACCCATAATGAAATCCGTTTTCCCCCCTTACCTTAGATTCGAGCTTTTCTTTGACAACAATGAAGATTTTGGTTCCTCTGCCCTAGCTCTCATTGTTCTGTCTTTTTCCTCTTTTTCACGTTAACCGACTAATTCCACTAACCATCTATTAACCCCTTAATTGGACTAAGTTCAATTAATTTAATTATTATTATTATTATTATTATTATTATTATTATTATTATTATTATTAATGATAGTAATCACCAATAATATCATTAATACTAATTGAAATAATACTAGTACTCCTAATATTTTTAATCTCATTATTAAACCACCCCTTAGTTTACGTCCATAATACCCCTAACTAAGGTCACCCCATAAATATACACACACCAAGGTATAAAACGACTAAATAGTTTAAATGGGGTGTTACAACTCTCCCCCACTTAAAATATTTCTGTCCTCTAAAATGTACCTGATGAGAACAATTTCGGATACGACTCTCGCATCTTGCTCTCCAATTCCCAGGTCACACTTCCTCCAGCAGCTCCTCCCCAAGACACTCTCACCAACGGGATATCTTTCCCTCTCAGTTGCTTCATCTTGCGGCCTTCAATCCTCAACAGCATCGCCTCCACCGTAAGGTTATCTCGAACTTGCACTTCATCTCTCTGAAACACATGAGACGGATCAGCAACATACTTCCGAAGTTGCGATACATGAAACACGTCATGCAAATTCGAAAGTTCGAGTGGCAACACCACTCTATAGGCAACAGTTCCAATCCTCTGCAGAATCTGATACGGTCCAATAAACTTAGGATCCAACTTCTTCGATTTCAGCGCCCGACCAACACTGGTCACCGAGTTGACTCTCAGAAATACATGGTCACCCTCGCTGAATTCCAAGTCTTTCCTCCTATTATCATGATAGCTTTTCTGCCTACTATGAGCCGTCTTCATTTTTTCTCTAATCATCTTGATTATCTCCATAGTTTGTTGCACAATCTCGGGTCTGAGTACCGTACTCTCGCCCGACTCATACCAACATAGAGGTGTCCTACACCTCCGACCATACAATGCTTCAAAATGTGCCATTCCAATAATAGAATGATAATTGTTGTTATAAGTAAATTCAATCAGCAGTAAATGAGTATCCCAAGCGCCTCCACGCTCGAGTATACAGGCCCTCAACAAATCCTCCAATGACTGTATAGTCCTCTCAGATTGCCCGTCTGTCTGCGGGTGATAAGCAGAACTCAATTTCAAATTAGAACCCAAAGCTTCTTACAAACTTTTCCAAAATCCAGAAGTAAACCTCGGGTCTCGGTCAGACACAATGCTTGACGGAACCCCGTGTAACTTCACTATCACTCTGATATAGATTTCTGCTAACTTCGTCAAAGGAAAACTGATGTTAATCGGTATAAAATGTGTCGACTTCGTCAGTCTATCCACAATCACCCAAATTGCATCAAAGCCTCTCGCCGTATTCGGCAATCCAGTCACAAAGTCCATTGCAATACTATCCCATTTCCACTACGGTATTTCCATTGGTTTCATCAAACCAGATGGTTTCTAATGTTCCACTTTCAACTTCTGACAAGTCAAACAAGCATACACAAACTGGGCTATGTCCTTCTTCATACCTGGACACCAAAACAATTTCTTCAAATCTTGATACATTTTCGTAGCTCGTGGGTGAATATTTAAGCTACTCATGTGGCTTTCCTGCAAAATTTCCTTTTTCAAATCATGATCTTCCGGCACACAAATTCTGTCTCGGAATCTCAACACACCAGAATCATCTACTTTAAAATTTTCTTCTTTATCCGTCCCACCTACGGTCATCAGGTCTACTAATTTCAAATCTAGTTTCTGACCTTCTCTTATTTCACAAAGGAACTCATTATTCACTTTCAGCATCCCTAACATTACACTTCTCGCAGTCAGCTCGTAAACTATACTCAAGTCTCTAAACTGCTCAATCAAATTCAATTCTTTCACCATCAACATCGACATATACATTGTCTTCCGACTCAGAGCATCTGCCACGATGTTAGCCTTGCCTGGATGGTAACTCAAACTAAAGTCATAGTCCTTCAGAAATTCCAGCCATCTTTGTTGCCTCATATTTAATTCCTTCTGGTCAAACAGATATTTCAAACTCTTGTGGTCACTGAACACTTCGAATCTCGACCTGTACAAATAATGCCTCCAAACTTTTAATGTAAAAACCACTGCAGCTAACTCAAGATCATGAGTAGGATAATTCCTTTCATGAATCCTCAATTGTCGTGAATCATAAGCCACAACTTTCCCATCTTGCATCAAAACACCGCCTAATCCCATTTTAAACGCATCACAATATACCACAAACGGATCACTCAGATTTGGTAAGGTTAACATTGGCGCGATAGTCAACCTTTTCTTTAGTTCCTGGAAACTTTCTTCACACACACCGTCCCACACAAATGCCTGGCCTTTCCTAGTCAACTAGGTCAACGGAAGAGCCAAGTTAGAAAAACCTTCAATGAACTTACGGTAATACCCCGCCAAGCCCAAGAAACTTCTAATCTCTGTCATTGACTTCGGAGCCTTCCACTGAAGCACAACACTCACCTTCGATGGATCCATTACTATGCCTCCTCCAAAAATAACATGTCTGAGAAAACTTACTTCACTCAACTAAAACTCACACTTTGAAAGTTTTGCGAACAATTTATTATCCTTCAACACTTGCAACGCAACCCTCAAATGCTCCTCATGATCTACTTCCGACTTAGAGTAGATCAAAATGTCATCAATGAAAACCAATATAAACTGATCCAAATAAGCGTGAAAGATACGATTCATGTATTCCATGAACACGCCCGACGCATTGGACACATCAGGCGGCATCACTGCATATTCATAATGCCCATACCGAGTTTTAAAAGTTGTCTCTTGGATATCATCTTCTTTCACACGGATCTGGTGATAGCCTGACCTTAAATAAATTTTACTGAACACACGAGCTCCCGCGGGTTGATCCATCAGATCGTCGATTCTTGGAAGCGGATACTTATTCTTGATGGTCACTTTATTTAACTGGCGTTAATCGATGCACAAACGCATACTACCATCTTTCTTCTTTACCAACAACACTGACACTCCCCACGACGACACATTGGGTCTGATAAACTTCTTATCCAATAATTCTTTCAACTGAGATTTCAACTCCGCCAATTTAGACGCCGACATCCTGTATGGTGCCATAGATATAGGTCTGGTACCAGGCACAAGATCAATCGTAAACTCTACTTCCCTCTTCGGAGGTAACTCCACAACATCCTTAGGGAACACTTCAGGAAATTCCCTCACAGCTGGTAAGTCCTCTATCAGCGACTTACTCTCCATAAATAGCGAAGGGAATACTAT